TGGCAGCAGCCATAGCCATGCAAGGAGAGGAAGAACGTTCTCCCATAATGGCCTGCACTTGGGCAGGTCTTGTACATGGTACTTCAGAGGGTTGTGATACAACTTCATTACCATTTGCAAAGGCCAATGCAACCCTCACACTTTTGGCAATTGAGCCACAGGAATCATAGATCCTATAGCCCAGAGAGATGCCAGGCAATAGGTCCGTGCTGTTATTAATCTCTTCTACGGCAAATAGCATAGCCTGGGCAAACTGGAACCCGCTGAAATCCAAGCTTGATGCAAACAGTTAATAATAATTAGTTAAAAAAATTCCATGCAGTAGAAAGAGTGGCACAGTACATGGAAGTATTTCATGATAAAATCACACACAACAGGAGTATATCTTCATTTAAATATTCAATGCTATACCCTTTCAGAAATTTGAAGCAAAATATTGATATGGTATACTGTTACCTGGTGCATTGCAGTGGCAGTGGTTTGTCCATGTAGGAATCCTGTCTGTTCTTCCAGCTGCTGTGGAAAGAGAAGATTCCCCCCAACATTATGTCCCCATCCTTAAACATCTGAGGGATCTCATGGTCCCCTCTCTGTGTGCACACTGGCTCCTCAGCCTGAGAGAAAGATCCCACCAGCAACAGATGTAAGAGTGCCCATCCCTGCTCCGGCCACCTCTGTGTGGATGACATACTGTTTGAGTGAGCCAAAACAATTCAGTGGCATCACATGAACCCCAATGTAAATTTAAATTTGGCACTTGTATTTATATATTTTGGAGAAACTTGGGAAAGAATAATGGAACATTGATGTTTTATCTCTGTGGACTTGGGGGCAAAGGAAGGAGGCGCCAAACAGGAAAAGGGTTATTTGCGTTACCAAAGTTACTGGTACTTGTCTGCTCTCGATTTAAAAAAACAACTATTATTCAATTATTTCTCAAAAGATCATATCTTGAAACTTCTCTAACCCAAAATCCATGGCCTATTTCCAAATTGCCTTTTATAGTTAAAGCCAGCTAGTGCTAGTGGAGCACGCGCGTGAACTGCGAGCGCCGGAGCCTCGCAGCGGCGGAACTGTGCCGCGCTTAATTGCGCCGCTTTTGCGCATCAGATGAGGCCCCCTCCACAAGATGAGGCCCCACGCAGTCTGCGTGATCTGCGTGTAGGGAGGGGCGGGCCTGGATGGTATGCTTTAGGTTTGGCAGCTTCAACTTTAGTAAACAGTTTTGTTTTTTAAGAAATCTACCTAAGGATTAGATATAAAATACATAAATAAAAAAGCATAACATTAATCTAAGGAAATGTGCAGTAGAGGAAGCCGATGGCCTCGGTAGCCATTCGGATCATGCCTTCTGCCTTGGCTTCCCTGAGCAAGCTAGCCCACCTACTTTCTGACTGATCTTGTATTTTCTGAACCCTGTGAGCCTTCAGTCGACCTGTTGACCAGTAAGCCTGACGTCCTTCGGCCATGTCTCAACATGTCTCACCTTGCCATTTGCAGGACGTTCTTCCTAGAAGAAAGCATTCACCATGCCATCTTTGCGGATGCACAGCCAGATCATCAGGAGGCCATCTACTCTGACAGCCAGCCAGATCAGTCTTCATTGACACCTAAAATCAGATGACCATCTCTTCCAAATCATCGGTCAGCCTACCTGAGAGTTCCTGCACTGCTACTCTCAGTAGTTAACCTGTTAAGCCCTGAGCCTGTTTTTCAGGTCTCAGGCTTGAAAATGACATTCCCAGAACAAATGACCTATGGGGGGACCGCCGTGCTTAAGAGGTTAACACACATTTATTATTTTTGTTCTATCTTTCACAACACCCTAGCTTCAATTTTTGAAAATTCAAATGTTCTCAAGCATTGATTTTTGCTATCAATGAGATCAACAAAAATCCTGACATGCTCCCTAATGTTAAACTTGGCTACAGTATCTATAATAACTGTGGAACTATGGACATACTGAGAGCTGCACTGGCACTGGTGTCTATTTTACTGCAGATCAACCTCAGGCTATTTCCACTCGAAGCGCTTTAACCTGTTAAGCACCAAGCCTGTTTTTCATGTTTCAGGCTCGAAAATGACATGCCCAAAACAAATGACTACAACTTAACTTCTAAAAGGGTTATATGAATAATTTCTTTTATCAAAGTAATGATAAACCTGTGAGTTGGATGTAGAAAAGTCAGAATCAATATAGATGTTTTTTATTTTAAAGAAAATTCAGATTTTACATAGTAAAAAACTGTAAATTATAGTGTCCGTCCAAATATTCTTTTTTACTTATAGTGAAAACTACCCTTGGATGATGGGTTAGTAGACTAAAAGCTTTAGGAATCCAAAGTACAACATATAATAAGTACCCTGTATCAAGATTGATGCAAAACAAGTGACATTTGACTTTTTTAGAGAGATTTAGCAAAAAGAAACCACTTCTGGGGTCATTTGGGTGGATTTTCCATATCTCTGGCCCCCCTTGGTCGATTTTGATGGTTGAGACCTCTTTCTGACCGTTAGAGCCAATATAATCGAAGGGGGAGTCCCCCACACACACTCATTGTGAAGAGAAAAGGTGGGGGCTTCGCGCATGTAATTTTGCATCAGAGTGAACCTATCTCTAGCTTTGACATCTGGAAACGGAAAAGCAGTTTTAATGCTTATGGATTATCAGAAATAATTTCAAAGGGACACAGACACATTGGATTAACCTATGGATTAACTTCAGCAGCGTTTTTATCGTTTTAATGCCATTGAAAGACCACTTTGGAGAGACTACAGAGGCAAGGTAAAAATGTTAGCATTTTTAGCTACCTAGCGTCACCTGTTTTGATGTCCGTTTTTGCTTATAACGTCGCCATTTCGTATAATTCAGTGATAATGTGGGTGTCCATCGATTCTGTGTCACCTCACGATGTGAAACGATGTCATGGATGTAGAGAAGAGATAAATAATAAGGTTTTGTGAGTGATTTTCGGTGCAGTAAAGTGTTAGCATTTTTCGCTCGTTGCTAATTCAGAGGCTCAGTGTTAGCATTGTGGGTTTTCTTTTGAAAAAAAAAAAAAAATTATCAGTTAGATGAGTTTCTTCCCGTTACATGGATATAAAATATTCATAGTTTATTAAATGAACATGCCCTCAGACACTGTTTCCTGCAAGATGTTGCGGCAGTGCCCCTGTACCGGGGTCTCTCGGGCTTAACAGGTTAACACTAGAATCGCCAACGGGTACATTTTACCCGCAGCTGTTTTTTGATTGTATGTAACTTTTTTTCAATAAAATATTAAAGTCTCCCAGTCCGTGACTTTTCCTGAAAGTGTGTTATGTAGCACCCTCTGTTGTTAAAATGTGTCAATATAAAGTCAGATTGAAAAGATCGCCAAAAACAATGCCATTTATACCCATTTGCGCCAGCGGGTAATATTTACCCATAGAAATGCAACGATCCTCGCGCTATTTATTTCGCGCGTAAAACATATACATGACGTGTTGCTATAGCAACGCCTTTTGTCTACTGCTGAGAGAGATTGAGAGAGAGATAGATAGATATATTGATAGAGAGATAGAGCGAGAGAGAGATATAGATAGATAGATAGATAGATAGATAGATAGATAGATAGATAGATAGATAGATAGATAGATAGATAGATAGATAGATAGATAGATAGATAGATAGATAGATAGATAGATAGTTATAGATAGATAGAGAGAGAGAGCCGGTCATATTTCCGAAATGGACAAAAGAAAGAGAACGTACAGGAGGCATTAGCGATGCTAAACCGTCTGAGCGAAGCAGAGTTTGATGGTGGGGAAGTATCAGGACTGAGTGATGTGTCCTGGGTTTGTTCTGCCTCTGATGGGTCATCTGACAGCGATACTGAGCCTCCGCGGAACGTGAGGCCGTCCCATCCTGACCCCCCGCTTGATGTACCAGCCCATGCAGAAGGTAAGATACAAATACATAGGGATATACAACATAGGCTATTCCTCACTCACTTCAGTGTTCCTATCTGTCAAACACGCTCGGACACACACAGTGAAGCCACACCTCCACACACACACCCACACCCACACCCACACACACACACACACACACACACACACACACACACACACACACACACACACACACACACACACACACTCACCATCTTCTCGCTAAAAACACTCGGCCGCATATATGTATATATATTATATATCTGATATGATAACACACACCAGTGGCGGACTGGCCATCGGGATGAGATACCGAAGTGGGCTGGTCTGATAAGTCACTACCACCCCCCCGTTGACAATTTACTAGCGGTACCGAAGTCGAGAGTCCCGAGCTGATTTTTAGTCCCAGTCTGCCCCTGACACACACTCAACACTGCAGATAACGTGTACTGTATATGTTTACCTGCTCTTCATGGGAGACTAATAATTCAAAATAAGACTATAGCCTACTTTTCTACAAATCGTAGGCCTATAAGATATCAAGGCATATAGATAATGCCTTTTCTTTTTACAAATTATCCTTTCATTTCCTTTCGAGGCTGTAATATTATCAAATAAACATTTATGAAATATACTTTAGTCTAAAGTAGTGTTTTCCTCTCTCCTATTTAGTGTGTGCCACTGAGCCGTCACCAGCCCAAGAGATCGGGAAAGATGGCACAGTGTGGACGGTCATGGAGCCTTGCGGAGGCACAGGGAGACGGCAGATACAGAACATCCTCACGGAGTCTGCTGGCCCCACACTACACGCACGTCACAGCATTACTGACAAACTCACAGCCTTTATGTGTCTGTGTGATGTAATGTTGGAGGAAATCCGTGATTGCACCATTACTGAAGCGCGGAGAGACAGAGCCACCTGGGATGTCTGTATTATGGAGCTGAAGGCCTTCATTGCGCTTCTCTATGTGAGAGGTGCATATTGTGGGAAGAACATTGAGATGGAGAGTTTCTGGTCCGAGCAGTGGGGCAACGCAACACTGTAGAGGAACAGGTTTCGGGATATCATGCGCTACCTGCGATTTGTTAAAAAGGAGACCCGCCGGTGCCGGTTGACCACCGACAAGTTCACGCACGTGAGGAAGGTGTGGGATCGTTTTGTCGACAATTCAATCGCGTCCTACAGGCCAGGGTCTGACATCACTGTGGATGAACAGCTTTTCCCGACCAAATGAAGATGTCCATTCACACAGTACATGCCCAACAAGCCGGACAAATTTGGCATCAAGTTTTGTCTGGCAGCTGACGTTGACAGCAAATACATGCTGAATGGCTTCCCTTACCTGGGAAAAGATGCCAGCAGGCCAGCAACACAACGGCTAGGAGAGAATGTGGTGCTGAGACTGGTGGAGCCCTTTGTTGGTAAGGGAAGAAATATAACAACAGACAATTTCTTTACCTCCCTCCCTCTCGCCAAAGCGCTTCTCGCCAAAAACACCAGCCTAGTGGGAACCATCAAGCGCAACAAGCGGGAGCTCCCACCCTCTGTGCAAGGGAGATCTGAGCTGTTCAGCACCAAGGTGCTGAAGAGCGACAAAGTGGTGCTCTCTGTCTACCAGTGTAAGCCGAGGAGAAACGTGACAATACTGAGCACGCAACACCAGCATGTGGCCATCTCCACAGAAAGAAAGAAAAAGCCAGAGACTATAGAATACTATAACCACTCAAAAGTGGGGGTTGACGTGCTCGACCAAATGGCTCGCCAATATTCGGTGAAAGGTAGGCTATTATTGTTATTATTATTATTATGTAGGCCTATACAAAACACTGCATTGGCCAATCATTTTTACTAAACCCTCTGTTTCTCTCAGGTGGCACGCGTAGATGGCCCGTTGCTGTGTTTTACAATGTGCTGGATCTCGCTGCCATCAATGCCTGGGTGCTGTACCGGAGCTGCATGAGCCAGGAGAACATCCCGAGAAGGGACTTCATGCTCCATCTGGCACACAAGCTGCACGCTGAGTGGATGGCATCAAAAGCGCCACCACTTGCGGACCTGCCCTTCAGCGGTGCAGAAGAGCGCAGGAGAATGACCTGCATGGTGAAGGCGCACTGCATGCAAAATAAAACGTTCTGCAAATGTGTCAAGTGTGGGGATGCTGTGTGTGGCAAATGCACAGCCAAGGTGCTCAGTGTTTGCAACTATTGTGTTTGAGTGTTTGTAAAGCGTTGTGTTCTTATTGTTCTTCTTCTCTGATGTTTTTTGTTATTTGTATACGTTCTGTGTTATCTGCTGTTCAATTATATAAAAAATACATTATTATATTATATTATTGTCATGTTGTTGTTTTTTTATGAGTAGAAGGCTATCAGACTATATGAAGCATTGTTACCTTTACGAAACACAAGTCTAACATCAAGCGTTTATTAGCGAGAGCGGGTAATATTTACTCCATAGAAAATGCAGCGATCCTCGCGCTATTGATTTTGCGCGTAAACATGACGTGTTGCTATAGCAACGCCTTTTGTCTACTGCTGTTCCTATAGATAGAGATAGATTGAGAGAGATAGAGAGATAGATAGATAGATAGATAGAGAGATAGAGAGATAGAGAGAGAGATAGAGAGATTTGTACCTAAACAAAACACAAGTCTAACACCAAGCATTTAAATCAGCACTTTAGCGATATTTTATACTTCATGCTATCTGCACAAACTATATCATATGAAAAGCTGAGAGTCCACAGATTATATTGGTATAAATGTCATCCCTGTGCGATCAAAACTCACTGTTCTGTATGTGGAGGAAACTTCTGTGTAGCAATGCATGGAGTCACCGACTCAGGAAGGAGACACGGTGAGAGTTGGAGCTTTGATGTCAAACACTGATGGGTTTATTCAGAGTATTCGGCCGGAGGATTCACATCACAAATCAAAGAGTCAGAGGTTCTGACTACACGGTAGAGTTGCCACGTCAATTCTGAAGAGCCTCTCTCTATGCTAGACCTTTTATCTGGTTCACAGAGAGAAATCAACATCTCTGAAGGAGTAGACTAAACAGCTGGGAACACTGAGCCACCTGCGTCCGACACTCATGGCCTCAAGGATTTCACATCCTAGAGCCCACAAACACCGATAAAGAAGTGCCTCAGTGTACTCACAACAATTACCCTTCGTGCCAGACAAGTTGACCGGTCACAAACTGGTGACAACAACACATATGACACCAAGGCCTTTCCTTAAAGGAGATAACAGACGTCAGAGTAGATCATAAAACGTCACAGAGCAAAAGGTTAGATATCTAGAAGAATTATTCCTTAACAGTTCCTCTCTTTTTATCATTTTTGATAACCTTAAAACATTAGTCTAATAATAATTCTGGTCAATACTTAAATCAATAGGCGTCTTCAGATTCGAGTGTGGTCTCACCTTACATTCAATTACATCACAAAGTAGAATAAGATTGAAACATTCAATCACAATGATTGATACAGCCAATCATAATAGGAACAATTATCTCTCATCAGTGTTTGGAGCATCTTTTGTCAATAAGCACAATAATGAACACACATAAAACACAGATACATAATAGCAAAAATATGTGTTTTAAACTAATATCTTTTATCATTTAAACCATTAGTTAATGTCATTTATCAAACTATAAAATCAAAACCAGCAGCAGCTTAAAGATTTGCTTTAAGGCAATCACTAGTCAAAAGCATTTAAAACTTAGGATCATAAGAGATCCAGCTAAGGCATAAATTCACAGTGGTGATTTGATCAATCTGTAATCTGCAAAATTGCAGTGTCCTCAATTTTAGGATTACTTTACGTTTACTTCATTACGCTTTAGTCAAGAGTAAGGCACTTAGTCTTAGTAAAATCAGTACATTCATTTTAGTCAAGTACATTGTTCAAATCTGAAAAGGAAAAGTTAGGCAAATATTCAAAGACTTTTGTAAAAACCTGGAAAGGAAAGATTAAACATTCTTAAAACTTGAATTCATACATTTGTAAATGCTACCACTGATCTGTACCAAATTAAGTCTATCACTTATTCTTATTAGCCATACTTACCTGATCATCTACTTATGGTACTTGGAAAGGGTTCTTCTGTGTTTATCTAATGTTGAATATAGAATATCAATTTCTTTAAACTATACTTCTCTAATTTGAGGATCAAATATGCTACATAATTGTTATATGAATTATTATAAATATTTGTTTTGGGCCAAAACTGAAATTAATCCAGTACTTGAAACATCATTTTATGTCTGTCTGTGCATGGGTAATACATTAAAGAGTTGTGTTGTTAAGCCTCATTGCTGGATGATTAAGGATATTAACATTATCTGTTATAATATTAGAAATACCTTATTATTCAATACCTTATAATCTGAAAATATTTATTTATTAATTTTGTTTAGTGTGAAAGTGTAATCTGATCTGACAAACGCAATTTATCACCACTATTTAACACATGTCTGGTCATTGGAAATATAAAGACCAATCATTAATTGTACATCTTTAAACATCTGGTTATTCAATTCAAAGTTCATCTTTGTACGAGAGCTGGAAGAACATGTCCGTCAGTCTTCCTGACTCGTTCTCCTCCTCCCTTTATGACACTGAGTGTCTGGTGTGTAAAGGCATCCTGATACTGTAGATTAGCACTGAGGTGCTGATTGGCTCAAACTCTTCTTCATCAGAGCGCCATATTTCAAGCCCCCAATTGCTCTGCTTTTGTGTGGCTCATTCAGTGAGCACTGTAGCTGACCCCCCAGTGAGACGGAGGCTCATCTGCCGGTATTCCTTCTGCTATCTGCTTGAGAGCAGTGCAACTGCGTATTCCTGATCCATCCAGGTGGGAGAGGTTAGGAAGACATCAAACTCCTCCAAGAAACATGGAACCTTGTATTATAGAAACCTCTGAAGCCCTCGCTCGTCCTGCAGAGTTGTCTGCTAGAGCCCACCGAGCAGAAAGATGAAGAGAAGAACCCCATCTTACCAGAAAGGTGAAGAGAAGCATCCCATCTCGAACGACCTCGTGCTTCCTTGCACGTGGCTGGGGGTGCTCTCTGCACCCGGAGAGTGTGACCCTCTCTCTCTGACCCTTGGCCTTGAGAGCTGTCCTAGTTATTGGGTTAACACTTGATAGGGATGTTTTTCTGAGTGAAGACAACTCAAAGTAATGGATTAGCACATTATCATTTAATTACAAAAATAGGCCCCTCAGAATTATTTGGGAGCCTTCCTGACACATGCACATTATCATTTTGAAGGTTTGTGTTAGTCATTGAACATGCAATAATCATATACTCATCAGTCCATAGCAGAGAAATGTTATTGTAAGTTAAAGGTGAGCTAGTCCCTGTGGATATAACCCCTTCTCAATGATTCTAAATGTTATATTAATTTATTAATTCACCATTTACCTTTTGATAAAATATTAGTTTATCAGAAATATTTTGTCTCTTCCATAAAACATAGGTTTGAGAAATAAATTACCCAATATAAAATAACTTACTCAATATAATTGACTCTTCCCTCCCTTTTCTTACATATGGTACATATGAAATAATAACTTAGGAGTCTATTTAAGCATGGTATAGTTTATAATCTATTAATCGAGAAGACTCAGTATCACCTGTGTGCAGCTTACAAAAAACCATTGTGATAAACATATATTATGCAGGAAATGGATACATTTGTTGAAAAACAAAGCATATCTGATTTGGGAGGAAAAGTTTCATCCCTTTAACAGTTATTACTGAAGGCATAGCATGAATGATATTGGGTGTCTGAGGGTGTCATTACTGAGAAATGTCAAACAACATCAAAACCTTACATTTGAAAACAGGTTTGCATTCCTCCACTGAAGGTGACGTTATCATTGGAAACAATAAAAGCTAATTGTTTTGATGTAGAATCTATATATTGAATCGATAGAGCAGAACAGAATGGTTGTATTGTAGCCTGAGTTTCGTGCAGCCTTTAGTTTTACTAGGTGGAAACATTGTCTATATAATGTGAATACATGTAGAACTAGACATTAAGCGACCCCTGACATTAGGCCTATTTGAACAATAGTAGGGGCTTTTACCAGCTCGCCAACTTACAGGCATCATAGCAGTATGAATAGCCTTAAAAACAACCCACTCTGCAGTAACGAGAGTCATGTATCTGAACCAAATGCCCTAAGTGAAGCCGTTAGTCTCATCTGACTGACCCAAGGGTTGGTGCTGGTGTGACAGGGAGGCTTCCAAGTGTTCAAAGCAGATGTCATGCTTTCAGTTCATGGCTCAGTGGGGGGGAGCAGACCCATGTGAGACAGTATCAACGGCTGTAATGTTCAGTTTGAGGAGTGTCATTCTCTCTGGGTGCAGGAAATGGTGTCCATTCTCGGACCAGACCATTAATGTCATGTAGAGCAGCCATAGCATCTCTGTGACTGCACTCAGCCGGACTGCAGCAGGGCAGAACTGGGTGACTTTTAGTGAAGCCGTCCAAGGCCATAGACAAAATGGAACCACGTACTAACAAAAGGGACACAAGGTCATCAATGTCTCTCTTTACCTTTAGCCTAATTGTAAAACAAATTAGTGGAAGAAATGTGGAACCCTAATCCATCATCATGTGAAATTTAGAGTTAATTTAAATAATTACTTATGGGTTGAAGTCAAATTAACATTAACATTAGAACTAAAGTCAGTCAAAATTGGACGTGCACGGATCAGAATCTAATCAATACACCATTTTCCCAGCTCTGTAACGAAAAGGATATCAAGATTAGGTACATTACAGGAGTGTTAAAACACCCAAACATGCACACTTATCTTATTCTAGTAGAGATTAGAGGACAGGTCTAATGTTGTGAACAAAATGATCAAGTCAAGTTATTTTATTTATTTTATCTTATGTACCACATTTAATTTAATAATTCATCTTAAATTACTCATAACTTTAAAGAAGGCAACAATTTACAATGTGGATAAGGTGACTACTTATCCAAAGTGTGTGGGTGTGTGTGGGTGTGTGTGGGTGTGTGAACAGCTTGTCTGCCCAAGGTTAAAACATTTGGGACAGCAGTGAGAATGTTATGAGAAACAATTTGTTGCTTAGACTGAACTCGAAAGAAGCTATCTAGAAGAATTATTCCTTAACACTGTATGGTACATTGTACCTTGGAAATCATTGGCGGGTAAATTTTACCCGT